TGTGCTTGTCTCTCTCTGCCTGGTGATCCCGCTTAGCAACGTAGATGGACCTGGAAGATGTCACATTTGAGAAGTGGGTAACTGTTCAGGTCCATCCGTGTTGCAAAGGATGTCACGCTGTCACAGCTGAGTAGTGTTCCATTGTGTGTGTGCACCGTGTTTCTTTATCCGTCTCCTCCTCGGTGGGCACCTAGGTAATGCCTTATCTTGGCTCTTATGACTTTGACCTACTGATTTCATTCCCTTCGGGTATTTACATACGCAGGTGTGGGACGACTGGCTCATGGTGAATCTTTTTTCCTTCATATCATCACCTGTACTTATCTTTAGTTTGATGGCCACACTGACTGGAGTGAGGTGGTAATTTCATTGTTGTTTTCAGTTGTATTATTTCCCTGTTAACCAGTGCTGCTGAGCATTTTTCATATAGCTAATGGCCATTTGTATGTCTTCTGAGGAATATCTGTTCAGATCCTCTATACACTTTTAATTGTGCTATTCAGTTCTGTGTTGTTGAACTGCTTGAGTTCCATCTGTATTTTTGGATACTAACCTCCTATCAGATGTTTAGTTTGCATATATGTTCCCCACTCTGAAGATTATCTTTTTGCTTGGTGGTTTCCTTTGCAGTACAACTTTTTAGTCTGATGTAATCCCATTTGTCTGTATTTGCTTTTGTTGCCAGGACTTTTGAAATTTTATCAAAGATTATAGAACACTGATAAAAGAAATTGAAGAGGTTACACACACACACATACACACACACATGAAAAAGATTCCATGTTCATGAATTGGAAGAATTAATGTTAAAATGTCCACACTACAGCTTCAGTGTAGTCCCTATTAGAATGCCAATGACCTGATTCACAAAAATAGAGAAAATAACCCTACGTTGGAGCAGTACCACAGAAGACTAAATAGCTCGAACAGTCTTGAGAACAGAAAGACAAAGCTGAAAGGCATCACGTTATCTGGTTCAGAATAGACACAGAGGTACAGTAACCAGAAGAGCACGATGATGGTATAAAGAGACACCTGGACCAGTGGAACAGGGGAGAGACTCCAGGAATAAATGCACTTCCCTGCAATAAGCCAGCTTTGACAGGGTGGCAAGGGTGGCTTCTTCAGAAAGTGGTGCTAGGTAGGCTGGAAGGCTTGAAATGTATTGTTTACTACTTGCAAAAATCAATCAGGAGTGCATCAGAGACTTAGATATGAGACCTGACATTTAAACTACTACAGATGAACACAGGGCAACAGCTTCCTGACTTTGTTGCTGATTGTTTGCCTCCCAGCTCATCCAGCTGATACTGCTTGTCCAGGGACCACAATTTGAGAAGCACTCCTTAGGAACCAAGGCTGATTTCATGAATTGGGTGAAGTAGAGGTCAGGATTTCAAGGACCCACCTGGAATGAAATTGGTTCAGCCTTAATGAGTTCTAGGGAAAGAATGTCTTGATGATCATTTTATTTTTTTCTGTAAATGAGGTACATAAAGTCTGTAATGTTTAACTGTTTTTTCTTTGATACAGTCAACAGTCGAAGGGCGAAGGTTGAAATCAGCGCGCCTCTTTATCTCTCCTCTTCCGGACTGAAAGTGCAGGGTAGGAAAGAGGGTGAGGTGGGAGATGCCCAGGCACTTTTTATGGCCAGACTGGTTTCAGGTCTTTTGTTTAATAATGTGTGATCTTGAGCAAATTGTTCAAAGCCTGAAACTTCCAATCTCTTTAACTGTTTAAGGGAAAAGGTGAATGTGACAAGAACAGAAGGTAATTGTGGAGCCTGCCGGCCACATGGCAGGTGGCTAGCTGCCTGCTTTGTGGTGTATTGTCAGTCAGACAGGTACTGTGGCCACAGAAAGGGGCTTCTCCTCCCGTCACTTGCTTAATCATTCGGCTCCTCTGCCCTGGCAGTCAGGGAACTGGATTCTAGTGCTGCTTTTCTCCCAGCAGCTAGATAATGCCTGAAAATATGTGGGCCTCCATAGGCCTTGGTTTTGTTATCTAAGTAGTAATTGTTGTAATCATAGTTTTCATGTTCTAAGGTCCTTTTCATTCTAAAATACATTAGAAGGATTTCTATTACATACATAGAAATTTCTAATCTTGACATAAAATTTATCAATGATTTTTCTTAGCGAAAATGCTTCCATCTTACTTAAGAAAGTTTACTTAAATTTTATTAATTTAGAATAAATTTGAAATAATTATCCCCCAAAATTGCACTTTGAATTTTGATATCTATATTTTCTTTTTAAAGAATTATTTACTTTTTGAGTTGAACATTATCAGAAGACATTGCTTCAATCGAGTGTTCATGTAATAGACTTATGCTACATTGTTTTCTTTTTCTTTTAGAATATGATTATGTGTGGATTTCATTTTGTTTCTGTTGGCTTTTTGCAATTAAAACATTAAATATGAAAAAATAAAAACTGATTGGCATTTTGGTCTACCCATTAAATACCACTTCTGCCTCTTTCTTAACTCCAGATGTTTTTACTCTCTTATGAATAAATTGTGCTGTTTGTGGTTTAAAGGGTAAAACAATGGGGCATCTAGACAGTTCATGCCTGTTGATAAAATACAGCATGCCTACATTCTTATCAGAAAGGGTATGTAAATTTAACTTGCAGTTTACTTTTTGTAATTCTTTTGTTTTAGAGACCATAGTATCTCATAGGTCATTTTGTTCTTTTACTGAGAAGAACAGGACTTTCTAGGTCAGGCTTCCTTGTACTTTTAGAATAGTCTTCAGGGTGTGCAAAACACCATCTTTCCCGAGGTGATTCTTTTTGTAAGTTTTTCTTCAGTGGATAATGTAATAAATGAATGCCAGTCTGTGGACATTTTTATCACATAGGGATACATACTTTCCCAGGTAGGGAGGTTTATGAATGTTGCTGCATATCCTGTTCTTTAGAGCTGGAGTGCAGCTCTGAGGATGGACGGCCCCGGGTGTGATCCTAGCACTGCAAAAACCAGCAGAATTGGATTACTTCCTAACCCTTGCAAGGGGAGGTGGAGGTGGAGTGTTCTGCCTTATTCAGTTCTCATGTCTGTTCTTTGTGGTGATTCAGTGCCCAGTGTTAATTCTCCCAGCATCGAAATCTTAATGAAATCCATCCTGCTTGGGAGTTATAACAAAGGGGTGCTGGGCACTGTCCAGGACAGTGGTCACTGGCCTGTGTGACTTCTGGGTGTCCTTGGAGTCTGCTGGTCCTGTACAGTTGAGCTGCAGGGTGGACTTAGAAGGCCATGCAAAATGGAGAGTCAGTAATTGTTATGCTGATTAGAAGTCTAAATATATGGAGTCAAGTAGAGTGTACTGTAGATGTCTCTTTCACTTGTTTTCTCGTTACTTTTAAAAATGTGACTATGCGAACACTTTAAATTATGCATGTAGCTGGTGTCAAATTCTGTTGCACAGCTTTCCTGTTACAGTGGAAATGGGCATTGAGAACTTCTCTGAGGAAGATCATGGTACGGTAGTTTGATAAATGTTTAAACTGTCTTGTGTAAACACAGAAACACTAGACTCATGAAAACACAAAACAGAAACAGACGGACAAGGAGTGACAGGCTGGTGTCCTCACAAACCAGAACGGGGTGTTGGAGAGCAGCACCTGCTGCCCTCCAGTGGAGGAGCATTGTCTGCATGCCGAGGCAGAGAGGGAGCCCGGGACACGGGTCTTCGTAGGAGAGTGGTCAGATGGTTAAATCACGGATGCGTGGAGACAGTATTCAGAGTCATATGACTATCATTAGAATTTATTTCAACTTGGCTGGGGCTGTAGCTCGTGGCAAAGTGCTTGCCTGGCGTGCACAAGTCCCTGAGTTCAGTCCTCAGTATCGCCAAAAGAATTCATTTCAACTTTATTGGTCCTTATGGAGCATCTGTGCCATTCCAGGCGGTGGCTCCTGCTGTGGGACGCAGAATTGGGACTAAGAGGTGTGTCCTCATCCTGTGGTCCTTGTAACACTGACCCTTGTACTCAGGAAACCTCAGATGCTGCCAGAGTCCTTGCCTGTTTGCCTTCACTAATTGTCATCCTGCCTCTAGGTTTTGTCAGTGCCACTGTTTGTTTGCATGTTTTCTTTTTCCCTAAGAGCTTGCTTAACCTTGCTTCCTATATGAGTTTTCCTTACCAACCTCCTTTAAGTCTTCCTTTTCTTTACATGCCTTGGGACCGGACCAATTATCTATATATTGGTAATTTACCACATTTAAAAACATTTGGTTATACACATTTATCTTCGAAGTTGATGTGGAAGTTTCTCAAGGGCATAAATAATTATTTAATTTTGAAAGTATTATCTGTAATTTTTTTTTTCTTGTTGTGCCACTGTAGTTCTTGGCTCTTTGATTCTTGGTAAATTATGTAGAGTTGCATGAGAAACAGAGGTGTGTTCAGTTTGGATGACCCAATACGAGGGACGCATCCTGTGCACAGTGGTTAAGCAGTATATTTTCAGTTGGGTAGAAACGAAAAGCCTCTATTTGAACAGGTAGGTGGCCCTTACGAATTCTGCTACATGGTTGCTGAAAACTTAGGTTCACTCTCCTGTGGGCTTACGTGGTCCATGTCGATACCTTGGGTGTTAGTGAGTGCACTTCCTCTCTGGGCTAGACACAGGGCTCACAGTGTCTCTGGCCAATGTGAGTGCCCACCTGGACACACAGCTGTCTGAACTGTAGAGGATGATGGTCCGAATCATATGTGTGTTTTCATACCTTTTGAAGATCAAGTCAAAACAGTGAAAAGGCTTCTTAAAGTAAAATGGAAACAGCATTGTCTTAAAAATACTGTTTATTGTGGAATTTTTCTGCCACCTAGATATCTCATTGGTACTATTTCCTGTCACTTTAGATGGGTGTCTGGGTTGGTTAGTAGTCTTCAAGTGTCCGTAGATACAGGTCAAAGACTGCCATTGTTGAATACTATTACATTCAAATAAAGAAAATGAAGCATACTTAATGTTTTCACTTGTTTTATAAGGCACAGTTGGTGGACCTGAGATCTGAACTGACAGAGACTCAAGCAGAGAAAGTTGTGCTGGAGAAGGAGGTCCATGACCAGCTCTTACAGTTGCACTCCATCCAGCTGCAGCTTCATGCGAAAACTGGGCCCAGTGTCGACTCTGGTACCATCAAGGCAAAACTGGTGAGTAGCTGCAAGAGTGGTATGTGTTCCTTGCTCTCCAGGGTACAGAGGAGAGTGTTGAATGAGGCCTTTTAAGTATAAAATGTTCATGTATTCTTTGTGGGAAAGTGCAGAGTTTATGATCACCATGCTCCTCCATGACTTCATCACTAAGGGATAATCAGTGATACCGATAACCAGCTGATAGAATTTTTTTCTTGTTTGAACATCTGTGCATAAGTAGGTTTAAGAGGTATTTAGAATTAAGACATAGGAAGTTTTTTTTCCCCTACTGTACCAGTTAGGATTAAATTCAGCTGTGTGTAACAAATTGGGTTATTCTGGTTGTTTGGTTTTGTTTTGATAGTAGAGCCTTGCTCATGCCAGGTGCTCCTCCACTGGACTTTCTGTTTTTTTGAGACGAGTCTCAGTGAGTTGCCCTGGCTCATCCCCCTGAGAGTAGCTTGAATTACAGGCATGTTGTGATGTCTCACTCTGGAATTGTAGTTACTTTCTCTTGGCAGAACCCTGATGGAGGTTGCACAGTCTGACACGCAAGCCCTATAGGCACTAAGGACACAAGTCCATTCCTTTGTTGTGTGGTGCCATCTTAACTCGTGTTTTTTACAGTCAGTATTTCATGTCTGCATTCCAGGCGTAAGTGAGCGTAGGAGTCTAAGAAAAAGGCAGACATGCATCTAGTGTGTTTACTTTCTCCAAAGAACTTTTTGAAACATTCTCCTCAGAGATTTCTGCCAGCATCTTATTGGTTGTCCCTGGCCATTTGTAAGCCTCTTAGTTGGTCATGTGGTGAACTGCAGTAAAATCAGAGCTCTGACAAGGAAGCAGAGGAAAACGAAAGTGGGTGCCAGTCCAGTAGCTCATTCTTTTGTGCTGTAAGCCTTTTTTACTGAACACTTTATAATGCCTCTATATTGGCTCGTGTGAATTTATCATGATCAGTATTTTTTTTTCTTTTTTTCTTTTTTTTGATACCGGGGCTCGAACTCAGGACATTGTGCTTGGGAGGCAGGTGGCAGCAACTCTGAGCTAAATCCCCGGCCCTAGTATCCTCTTAATTAATGAGTTCTTCATAGAAAAAAATGTTACTCACTTCAGTGTACCCTCTTATGTACTGAGCGCCAGGCCTCTTGTTAAGCTGTGTGGAGACACAGCAGTGAATAAGATAGGCAAAGCCTGGGGGAGGTGGGGTGTGAGGCGATGATGTGATGAGTGAGCATTTGTACGTTTTACTTACCTGCAGTTAATTTTGCTTGATTAGTTTATAATACTGAATGATAGAATTTATTTGAATGAATATTTGTATTCTTTTAAAGTCCTTTTAAATCCTGAAGTTGTATGAATCTAAATTAGTACTGTTTATTAAAATAAAAGATCATAATTGCTTTTTTCAAATATTTGATGCTAACATTGAGAAGCAGTCTACAATTTCAGTAGGAAAGAATTTACCTTAGCATTAGACTTGGAACACCAAGTACTGTTGAGGAGAGTGCTGAACCAGTTGTGACTAATTTTGGTGAAACAAATTTTAGTCTAATACTCTGCAATTAACTATCATGTTTGGATTGCAAATGTATTTATTCTAATGAACTTTACCCAAATGATACTCGCCATATAGAAATTTTCCTTTTAATGACTGTACCTCTAGATAAATTTATTTTTTGGATGGTTTTCTAATTATAAAACTTTTTTCTTACGTCTTAAGTCTGTCCCTTCTGTGGAAGAGCTGGTAAGTACATAAGTTCTGTTTGGCTTTAATATGTCGTGCTGAAGTATTCCACGTGTTTATTTGCATATTACATGTCACTCTTGTGTCTTTGGAAATGTTAACGATGGCAGTTTGTAAAGTTCAAATGCCTGATAAGTTCAGTGGGTGGCCCCATTGTATTTTTCTTGCTGCATGGGGTTAAACTTTTTTGTTCTGTTTGTCATTTGCAGCTATACAGATTTATAGATTAAGCAGGCCTGCTTCTTATTCCCTTCAGTTTGTTTGAATTTATTCCCAGGAAAAGAGTAGGCATGTTGGTTTTTTCTTCATCCACTGCATGTGTTAGAACTTTGATCAGTCTTGAGAATAATTGTGTGACCATTAAAACAACTGGATCTTAAAAATCCTTTACCAGAAATTATTTTAGAAAGTAACAATATTCTCATCACCCCACCTAATCAGGTCTCAGTTTGTCTCTTGACTTTGTTTCTTTTAACAATATGCACTTTGCGTATCTAAATATAAAATAACGCTGGGGACATGGCTTGAGGTGAAGCACTCACCTGTCATGCACGAGGACATTGGATCAGCCCCTGGCCTGCAAATAAAATAAATAATTCTTGTTTGTTACTTAATAACAAGCGGGTTAATTTAATAAACAAACAAATCCCTTTAAATCTAGAAGTAATTATCTTCAGTTTCTTTCATCCTGATCTTGCTTACGTCTTTAAATTTCAGTTCTAAAAGTATTCATTGGGGGTTTAAATCATTAAAACAAAGTGGTAGCTTAGTGTGTTTCTCAGATCCCACGGACAGAGTGTAATGAGAGTAATTGGAAGTAGAGGTTGCTCACCATCATGTTCACTTAGCCCATTTGCTGAAGGGTTCTTGGTCTTTTTTTGCTTTTTCTTTTGGTACCTGGGATTGAACTCAGGACTTTGTGCTTACAAGGCTGGCGTGGCACCACTGAGCCAAATCCCCGGCCCAGAAACACATACCAATAAATGACATAAAAAGGTTTTTGTACATTAATTACTGGAAAGTGCTCCTTTTGGGCAGGGGAGAAATGATATCTGCTGTTTTAGGAAATACATTCTGAAATTGATGCATTACTAATTTCAGAATTGCTATGGAAGAAAAATTCTGGCTTAGTCATATTTCAAATCCTTTAATAATCTAGAAATTAAGTTTAAGGGTTATATTTTTCTTTATAGAAGTTTAAAAAGCCTGCTAATCTTACTTCTGTTTATCACATATAAAACATTTTAATCAAAAAAATATACATAGCATTTCATAGTTTTTATTAGGGTTTTTTTTTTTTTGTGTGTTTGTTTTTTTTTGAGACAGGGTCTCACTATATAGTTGAGACTGACCTGGAACTCACTATGTAGCCCAAGCTGGTCTCAAACTCACAGCGATCCTCCTGCCTCAGCCTCCCAAGTGCTGGGTGTTTTGGTTTTTTGAGACAGGGTCTTCCTGTGTAGTTCAAGCTGGCCTTGAACTTGCAGCAGTCCTCCTGCTTAAGCCTCCTGAGTGCTGGGATTACAGGCATGTGCCACCATGCCTGGCTCAGTTTTTATTAGTTTTAAGTTCTTTTTACGTACATGTACACATGCATATTTTTAAAATATCTGTAGTTTTTAAGATTATGGAATACACTGCCTTATATTTTAATATATCATATTTTGGTGTTGGTCAGAAGAGGTAGACCAAAGCAGTTTGTTTTGTAGTTTCTTGATTTCAAGAAGCAAAAAGGAAATACTTGATTAGTGCCCATAAAATAGAAACAATATCATTTGCCATATTTCCTCAGAAGGGACAGTGTTTTCCAGTTGGTAAAATAGATTTTTATTAAAGTCTTCTGGCAGGGGACATGTGGTGCAGTGAGCATGTCGTCCACACCTCAGGAGCAGATATAACTGGGCAAGAGGAGGGCAAGTATGAAGTCGGGCATATATGGTTCTTGGGAAGATTCTCTGGCCACACACGTTGCATACGTACTAGTTTTGAATTAGCCTGCCAGTGGGCAGGACTGTGAATCTGCCATTTTGCACTTTATGTTGAAGCTGCTCGTCTGTTTTGCGCTTGGATCCTGAAGGCAATTCTATTTGTAGCCTTCGGTTTGTAGAAATGTACAGATTATGCTTTGTGTTTGTGATAAATTGAACATTATTTCTCATCTGTGAATTTTTCATAAAAGCTTAGCCTTGGGATGATATTCTCTGGCTAACCCCTGTAGATTCATAGAGTTGACCTATCTGACAGGTGGAGCATAGGATGATGTCCTTCTGTGACAGCCGAAAATGGGTGGATATTTTCTCAGAGGCAGCACGAGGCCAAGGTTTTCCTTAGAAAATAGTTCTGTGCTCACTTTAACATGTAGACAGAGAGCTGAGTCACATCCCCAAGGTCAGTCATATTATGCGCCATAGACATACTTCTGTGTAGGTATGTTTTAATGTTTCAATGCACTTTTTACCGGCAAGGTTGAGTCATGTGTAGAAAGTAAGCAGCGGATTGGACTAGCTACTGCATTTGGAGAAAGCTGCTGCTCTTGCCGTCCTCAGTGTCAGGGTGCCTGATGGCCTTGGCTTATCCAGTGGTTCTGATTTTAAAACCACTGTATTCCTTCGAAATGAAGTGGCCATTTTCATCATGTTACTTTCATTGCTGGTATCATAGACTATTTTAAGGACGTAGTTTACTGCTAAAAGTCATAAAGAAGTTTTCATTCAATTATATTTTTTGGAAAAAATTATAATAGGAAAGAGAGCTTGAAGCAAACAAAACAGAAAAAGTGAAAGAAGCCCAGCTGGAAGCCGAAGTGAAATTGCTGCGAAAGGAGAACGAAGCCCTCCGCAGACACATAGCCGTTCTCCAGGCCGAGGTGTACGGGGCCAGGCTGGCCGCCAAGTACCTGGACAAGGAGCTGGCGGGGAGGTGCGTGGGACGTGCGCTCGTGTGCTCGGGGCCGGGCGTGCGGTTGTGCGCTGAGTGAAGCTAACGTCGACTCTCGATGTCATGTCACAGTGGGTGACCGCTGACTTTTCTTAAATGAATGTCGACGCCATTGCAGATTGCCGTTTACCCACACAGGATAAGTGCGGTTCCCTCAGACACGGGCGGCCCCTGGAGTAGCTCGGGTGAACGCTGCAGCCATTTCCTGCCTCGGTGCTGGAACGGGTGGGGGTCCCGTGGCCAGCAGAGCTTCTGTAAGGAAGTCTTCGTGTCATGCGGCAGTCAGAGCTCCCCTCACACACGAAAGGGATATTAAGTTAACAGCTGATTTTTATAATTAACAAACAAGGTCTGCTGGCATTTTACTAAGTATTCGGAGTCATTTTGTTTATTTTAATATTACATTGAGAATTGATGTGAAGCAAAGAAAAGGTATTTATATCATCTTGAAGTAAAACTTCTGTTAACTTTACCACATTTAAAAATAATCATTTTATGAAAAGAAACTCAGAAGAAAGGCTTTTGTTCAGTCACTGTCATCGAAAAGCTAATATTTAATACCATTGTATCTGAGTGCAGGTATTAAGTTACCTTTATTATATGCAAGACATTAAACATGTTTTCTTTTCTTTCCTTTTTTTTTTTTTTTTTTTTTTTTTTTTACAACCTCTCTAGTGCTAGGATTAAAAGTGGGTTCTACTTCTTTCTTTCCTTCTTGTTTTTTTGAGACAGGGTCTCACTCTGTAGTTTAGACTGGCCTTGAACTATCAGCATTCTTCCTGTCTCAGCCTCCTGAGTGCTGGGGTTATAGGCATGCACCACCAGACCCAGCTAAAACACAGAATTTCATATTGAACTCAGGGTAAGATTTTTTTTTTTCTTTCTTTTTTTTTTTTTTTTTTTTCTATCAGGGATCGAACTCAGGACCTTCCGCTTATGAGGCAGTCGCGGAGTCACTGAGTTAAATCCCTGGCCCAAACACATGTTAATTGACTTTGATCTCAAATTATTTTTTAAGGGATATTTGAAGTAAGAACAGAATATGACTAAAAGTTGTCATTTCCTTTAAAAAAAATTTTTACTGATTTTCCCTTGATTTCTGTCCTTATTAGAGTTTTCATATTTTTATAAATCTGAAAGACATGGAGAAGTTCTTGAATGTTTTTATTACCAGTTAAGATTTATGCAAAAGGGACTTTGTTTAGTATTTCTTCTCAGTTCTATAGTAAGTATAAGAAAAACTAACTCGACTCATTTCCTAATTTGAAGGGTCCAGCAAATACAGTTACTAGGACGAGACATGAAGGGTCCTGCTCATGATAAGCTTTGGAACCAGCTAGAAGCTGAAATCCATTTGCACCGGCACAAGACGGTCATCAGAGCCTGCAGGGGACGGAACGACTTGAAACGACCCATGCAGGCACCTCCAGGCCACGTATGTGCTTTGCTGCTGCTTCTTGGTCTCCTCCTTGCCTTAATCCCAAGTCCTTCTGTTCTGTATTTGCTTCTAGTGCTGTTTGGAACTTTTATAGAGAGTGAAAATGGGATTCATTTTATTTAGGTCGCATACATTGAAGCGTGGTCGGCCCAGATCAGGTGAGTTTAGGCAGTTCTTCGCACGCACTAATATTAGTCCTGCGAGTGGAGTGGTGTTTCTGAGGACAGTGACTCCACTGGCAGGCACGTCACTGTGCTCTGGATTAGTTTCACAATGCTCCCAGACTACAGCTGGGCTGTTTACTTAAGGGTTGTTTAGGGTTAGGTGAAAGCATGTGAACATTTTGTAAATTGACAAAGTATTTGAGGAAATTTCTTTAAGGGAATCTTTGGTAACCCAGATCCCAGAAAGCTAGGATTCTGAAATAACAATTACACCTGCTAAGCTAGGACCTGAGGTCTGTGTCCAGTGATCTCTTGCTGAAGCTGCCATTGGACGGGAGCCTCTCCCTGGCATACACCTTTGCTGCACTTTATTGGGAGGCCTGAGAATCCAGACCTTACTGTGTGAAGGCGTGTCTGGTCTTGCCCTTGTGGCTCACAGGTCAACAGCCCCTGCAAGAGTTACTGTCAGAAGAATTGATGACGTGCATAGAGAGTTGGAAGAGGAGTGGGAAGTACAGCACTGCTTGTGCTGCTGTCTAAGGCGTCAGTGGCCCCCATTAACATCTAGGTCCAAAAGACTGGGAATATAGGAGAGATGCAGAGGAAGACAGATAGCTGGTAACAGTGATGTCTGAGTGATAAAAGCCGCTAAGTAAGAGAGATTCTAGATAGTGACTGGATGACAAAAGTTATTTTACACTACCAATGCAGTGTTGACTTTCCTGATAACCGTGGGGCTTTTAAGGAAAATGGCAAACACTATGTCATTGTATCCAGTCTGAAAGGTAGGATGATAATCCACAGAGGAAGCAATGAAGGCAGGGGACGCGGCATTTCAGAGGGCTTCGATAGAATTAGAACCAGAAGGACATGAATGGTTTAAGTCTTTGGCTGCTATTAGTTAAGAAGGTGAATGAGAAGGAAGAGACTAGAATTTTGTTTTGGCCATCTGAGCATGATCTGACTTCCATTGATAAAGAGAATAGAGAAAAATGAAGCTTAGAAAGGAAGAGACCGCATTTTGACATGGATATCAGAGTTGCCAGTAGGACTTCCAAGATGTCCACCCAGGTAGACATGTGACGGGGCTCAGGAGGGAAGTCTTGAGTTGAAGTGTTAGGGAAACCATTCATCTCTTATAACTGAGACCATGGAATTGATTTGGTCTTCAGGGCAAGTGTGTATAAAGCAAAATGGGAGGCCAGGGATACAAACCTATACGTTAGGTAGGAGAAATCCTGAGGCAGAGCTACCGGGTACGCATTGGCTACCCAAGAAAGGAATGTTCTAGAAACCAGGAAAGACAGTGGGTACTGGGAGGAGAGGGGCCAGGCTCAACTTCCTGCAGGTTCATGTAGGGTGGTGACTAAAAAGTGCCAGTGAAATGACGACAGTGACCACAGGAAAAAAACTAGCTGCACAGGTTAGGCTCAGACATTATTGAACTCAGCGAGAGAGCCCAGTGCTGAGTGGGAGGCGTGAGCATCAATGCAGCACCTTGACTGGGGTCTGGAGAGGGTGGTGAAGGGAAGCAGGAGATGGAAGGATCCAAGGTTTCAGTGGTGAGGATTCACCTGCCACGTAGGAAAGGAGTTTAGAGAAAGTATGAAGACACCAGAGAGAATGGGTTGCTACTGGAACCAAGGTTCTTGCTTCAGAGAGAGGCTTCAGAGCCGAAGAATGAAACAGTAATAAATGATTAAATTGGAAATACGTTTTCATGCCTGTAAACCAGTTGAAACAGGTATCTTCTAAGATATTTTCCAGTGCAGACAGGCATTGCCTACTTTACTCCTAGAACACTTGCTTACTGAATAATTCCTGGTGATAATTTCTTTTGCGATGTCCTACAATATAAAGACACGCATCAGTTTTTCAATATGTAAAAAAAAAACCTGGTTGATAAAATAACCTTTAATTGTTACCATATTAACAAAGCATTTTTATTTTCCACTTTATGTGTTACTTTCTTAATACCGTACTGTTTCTATACCAGGAAAGTAATAGACTTCTAAAAGCAAGTGATAAAGCATAAGCGTTCCCTGCTTGACATGATTTAACTGATACAGAGTTTTTTCTTTTTTCTCCCCAATAAGGATCAAGACTCTTTAAAGAAAAGCCAAGGAGTTGGTCCCATTAGAAAAATTCTTCTCCTTAAGGAAGACCACGAGGGCCTTGGCATTTCAATTACAGTAAGAAGTAGTGCTTCTGGTTTCCTTCTGTACAATTATCTGATGTAGTCCTTTGCCTTTGTTGGACACAGTGTGGGAAACGCTATTCTGGATACACATCCTAATAAGTCAGTTTATTCAACACTTGGACACTAACATTTTTGTGTACTTTTTTGTATGTAAATCTTCCTGACAACTGTTAAATATTCCTCAGTTGCATGGATTAGCATTTTCATTATGACCCAAATCATAGTTTTGTATTAGATACCATGATGCTTATAGAAGCCCTTGGGACCAGAGAATGGCTGTTTTCTTCTGTGGGCAATGCTCCGGATGGTATGGGTTTTCTTTTTTCTCAAGGGTGTATGTCACCTTTCTCTCGTTTTATAGTTAGCCGTCAAGTTTCATCGGCTCTGGGTCTAAGCATTATGCCTTTTGTTAATTTGATGTTTTTTCAAGCAGTGGTCTTGGGCAGCATTCTTGAGAGCAACCTGGTGTATATAGGAACTGTTTTGTTTTAGTCTTGTTAATCACATTTTATCATTCAGAAAATGCATCTTAAAAATTTTACGACTCTGATACATCAAATAATTGTTTTTACCAGACTCAGCAGTTTGGATTTGATAATATAGTGCTGTGTAGTCTTAACCCATAAATATTTTTATTCATCTTTAAGAGTTAGGATCATTGATTTTTTTATTTTTGACATTGTGGTAATTTTGGCTCTGGAATGTGTTTGAAAAAAGTGGACATAATTCTTTGATACTTGTCAGATTTATTTGCCATGACCTAAGTAGCAAATAAAATGCTACCCAGTGTTTACAGGGATAGTATAAACGTTTAATGGAAGGCGTTTTTAAGAAAATGTTAAAGTTTGGAATAATCTGTGACTGTCGTCCACAATGTGTAAACGGACTTCCTGCCTTGGTGTCAGGGTGGGAAGGAACACGGTGTCCCCATCCTCATCTCTGAGATCCATCCCGGGCAGCCTGCTGACAGATGTGGAGGCCTGCATGTCGGGGACGCCATTCTGGCAGTCAACGGAGTTAACCTGAGGGACACGAAGCATAAAGAAGCCGTAACCATACTTTCCCAGCAGGTGAGTTCCCTTTGTGTCATCAGGAACAGTTTCTACATTCCATTGAAATTTCTCAAGTAGTAAAAAATGTTTATAGGTGAATGCTTATTTCCTTTGAGTTGAGAACCGTATAATGACACTGGTCAGATTTTACTGAAAAGGAGCTATTTCATTTGTTCTTTTATGTGAGCACAAAACTGACAAGTCGCTTACGTCCTCTGTGCCATGGCCTGCTTGTCTGTGTGGTAGGTTGGAAGTATTGTTGGAAGGAGTGTGCAGATACCCAGAGCAGGGTAAGGTACAGGGAAGCCACATCCCTAATAGCAGAAACACCACGCAGATGCATTGGGATGTGAACAAGACAACACTAGAAGAGGGTTGATTTTGTTCATTGACTATCAAACCGGAAGGATCCTTAGAAACCATCTAGCCTAACTCCTACTTGAAGATGAGTAAACTCTAGTTCGTAGAGATTAAGGAATTCTTCAAGGTTGCAGAGCAACTAAATTTTAGAGTAGATTTCATGTTCTAGAGTTACACAGAAGGTTTAGAGTTGTTTGTTTGTTGTCTTGGTTACTTTTCTTATCGCTGAGACAAGATACCCGAAGTTAAAGGAGAAAAAAATCTATTGAGCTCACAGTTCATAGAAGTTTCACTTCATAGTTGGCCAGCTCCAAGGTGGGCTGGCGTGGTAGAGGGCATCCCAGAGCACCCGCAGAAGGCAGCAAGCAGCAAGTGACAGATTCTTTCGGTCCCTTATATTGTATCTAGGCTCCCTCCTGTTAGGGCAGAGAGCACTCACCCCCAAGGAGGGACGCTCGGAATCCTACCCAGAACTCTTGCCATACTGATCAGTGCAGTAGTGTAGTAGCCACACACCCTTAATCCGAGCATCACAGCCACCTCTGAAAAGCTCCATCCCTGACTGCAGGAGGCTGTGGGGACATCTAGACAAAGGCCATAATATTTGTTTTTCATGCCTGTGAAAAATGGGGAATGGGATGTTGGTACCGAGAGACCTCTGGGATCACCAGTGGACGTCCAGTGTTGAACTGGATCTCAGTAAAATACGGAGTCGTAGCTCATCAGGTCAGCGCCACATGTTGCATAAATTCCTCTACAACAGACTGTTCAAGTAATTGCGTTACAAGAGAAGACTCACTGGCAATAAAGCAGTGTAGTCCGTTCTGTTATTGCACGCCGCTGATTGTTACAAACTTCTGCATGTTCACCCCGCAGTCTGTATCTAACCACAGACTGATACTATTCTCTAGAACTTCACGGGAGACGACTGTATCACCCACGGCTCTTCCAAGTGGTATTTTAAAACATTATCTGATGAGAGAGAGAGGAATGCATAAGTTGGTGTTTTCCCAGTTACAAGTGACTGTGGTCTGATAGCTGAGAGGGGGCTCAATAGAACCATGAGCAGGCAGTCATAAGGAAACCAGGGCACATTTTACAAACTATCAGACGTGACTTTCCCAGCAGTTCAAGCTGGGAAGAAAGCACCACAGAGACTCACCTAGTGAGGAGCAGTCAGAAATGGCGTTCTTGGGCGGGGGATTTGCCTCAGTGGTTCCGCTGCCTGTCTTGCAAGCACAAGGGCCTGAGTTCAATTCCCAGTGCCACAAAAAAAAGAAAAGGCGATCTGAGCAAAGGAGGCATTGCCAGAGCAGTAGTCACCAGACCTGCATGCAGTGCTTATAATCTCTTCTGAAATGACTTATATAGCTTGAAATTATTAAACTAAAATGATCTGTAATATTGTACTTGAACATAAAATCATTATTAAAAGATCGACAGTACAGAAATGATAGCTTAGTCCAGCGTAGAAAAGCTAGGACTTGGGGGCCTGTGTTCTCTCTCGTGTGCTTAGTTGGCACACGTGCTGGGAAAATGACCTCTCTGGGGGCTCACAGGGCTTTCTGGGTCCTGTTGGAGACCAACATGGGTTAATTCTGAGGACCAAAACACAGGAGCCACATTGTAACTACACAGAGTATCTTGATTAACACTATGGTACTTGGTGAAGGTTAAAAGAAGGTTTAAGATTTGTTCAGTAAGAAATCATCATGTAGGGGCTTCTTCAATTCGTACAGAAAGTTTGTGTAATGTCCTCATCTGCAAGCTTACTTAATATTTAATTTTCTAGGTGGATCTACTGAATTGCTGTGTACAGTACAACATTGAAAATGACTTTGAAGGGCCGGGGATTTAGCTCAGTGGTTCTGCCACCTGCCTCACAAGCGCAGGGTCCCAAGTTTGATCCCCGGTACCAAAAAAAGAAAAAAAGACTTTGTAACTGAACACTTCTTCCAGAATTGTATAAATAGTTAAGCATCCTTTTAAATTTTAGATCTGTTGGGCCAGGCAGGGATTTAGCTCTGTGGCTCCACCACCTGTCTCACAAGCACAAGTGTTCCATCCCTGGTACCAAGAAAACAAAACAAAACAAATTTTGGATCTGTTAGCAAAAAATACTGTGACTAGTAGAACTGCTAGTAGCACGAGGAAATGGTTTGTGGAGCAGACGCACAAGGTTGTCTCGATGGCACGGCCTCTTGGTCTCCGCTGCCCCGGGAGTCTGGTTTCTTCTGTGGTCTGGAAGGAGCAGCAGCCCACTGAGATTTTGGAAACCCTTTGGCTTCGATGATAATGACTGGACCCCTTTTGTTCCCTCCTTTAGAGGGGAGAGATTGAATTCGAAGTGGTGTACGTGGCTCCTGAAGTGGACTCTGATGACGAGAATGTGGAGTATGAAGATGAGAGTGGGCATCGTTACCGTCTGTACCTTGATGAATTGGAAGGTGGCGGCAACCCTGGTGCTAGTTGCAAAGACACCAGTGGGGAAGGCAGAGCGTTCCCAGGTAGAGATCACTGACCATGCTCGTTGTGAGCGCAACTTCCAGAGGGGAAGCTTCAGGTGTTCTGCAGTCACGCTGCACTCACGAGACCAACAGATGACAGCATTGTCCTACTTGTGGTTTTGTTGTACACCAGCAGCCATGCTTAAATATTGTCTACCTACGTTTTCTGTAGATTCATCTTGGACTACTAAAGTCCTTAAAAGATACAGAAAACTCAAATCTTCTAAATTGAAACAAGACTCCGATGGCTTTTAGAATAGATCTGTCTTAATGTAGTCGAATCTGTCATTCGAAACAGTGAGTTGCAGGCTGGGTAGGAGGAAGCTGCTGGGCTTGCAGGATCGGTGTTTGACTCATCACTGTGATGCTGAAGGTCCTTGGTTTAGCTCCATTACTGTCGCTCGCACACCAAAGGGAAATTGTAGCACTTTGTTGGGCACAGAGCAGTGGTTAGAAAATTACCATCCTTGGGTCTCGAGAGTCTTGAGGTCTTTCGGGGATCCATGAGGAAAAACTTGTTTTGATGCACTTGTCTGCAGAATTTGCACCCACAGTATGAAAGCAGTTCGGGCAGAACTGCTGGTCCCTGGGCAGTAGTGGGCATGACTCTCTTCCCTTCGCCCACTCTGAGGAAAAAGAAGAAAGTACTAGTTTTAAACATATCCTCAATGAAAGTCAGAACTGTTTTTCTTCTTACGCAAAATGGTGCTGTGTGAACATGTAAGAACACGTTTATGAAGTACTGGCCACAGCATGCACACGTACTGAAACGGAAAGGAACAAAGGACAGACAGACTGACAGCCTCAGGGCTCGCCCGCCCCTCCTGCTGAGCCCACGAAGGTCTGTGCCTGACAGATGAGCTGCTGAGGCCGCACCTGCCCATACCTCCCCGTCTCCCTATGTCTTAAAGATAAACTAAGAAAAGTTTAAAAAGCAGCATTACTTCCACCTCCCTGCCCTTTGCTAAGTTCTGCTTCTGTCCCCTGCCCTGTCTAGAGGGCAGATGTAGAAACGGGGCTCAGACTCTGGAGGGGGACTTCCGCTGGGCCCGTGAGCTAGCGAATAAACCTGCCTTCCCTTCCATTCCCTTCTCAGTCTGCCTGCCTCCCAGTGCCACTGTAGTACTGCTCTGTGCGGTGCATGCAGGGGCGCATGGGGTGCTGGTGCCTGGCGCCTTGCTTCTTTCAGAGAAGACGGTTCTTACTGGAAAGGATGACTGGCACATTGTGGTTATCCAGACTGCCTGGGGGCCATTAACTGAAATAGGAACAAAGTCTGTCACTTCAAGGAAGACCGCTGATGGTGTTTATTGCCAGTGATGAAATGGGAGCGCTGAAGGGAAACTTGGGATTTTGTAAAACGCGTCAGTCACTGCACTCGGCAGCTCCTGAGTGCCTCAGAACTGACTTCTCTAATGAGGTTGGTGGCGATACTGATGCCAGTTTTTGTATGGTAAAGTGAAATGTGTCCGCCTTTAGAATTGCCGCACTCAGTGAATGGCCCATAGGTAACACTGCAGAATCGTGTGAGGGAGAGGGCCGTTCAGATTTCGGCTGTATGTGTAGTTGACTGAATTTTACCATTACATGTGGAAAAAATTCCTTTGTCAGAAATTACTGATGATTAATTTATTTTGCCTTGTTTTACTGCTACTGAGTACAGTGGGCATTCCTTTGGTTTTTGCTCAGTAAAACTATAAAATGAAGTATATTTTTAGACCAGAAATTAACCACTCTTTTCCTTTGCCTGTCTTTCAGGCTATAATAAGAAGACAGTCACTGATGCCCAGGAGAATGGAGACCTGGGAACTTCAAGTGAGACTCAGCTGGACGATACGGCTTCAAAATTAGATGACCTGCACGGTGGCCTGTATCATAAAAAGTCTTTCTGAGCATCTGCAGCTCCAGACAGGATGGCTCATCAGACTTTGTTTGAATTGGGGGTACCAGAGAGGGTGGTGACAAAGACCATCCCGGGTTGAGAGAGGCTGTTTGTTGCCTAGAGAAAGGCAGGTACGTCAGGGCTTCGTGCGAACAGTTCCAAATGCACACCCCGCTTTTCCGTGGTACACCACAATTAGTTAGCTATTGCATGTAAGGCAGTTTTGATTTACCTGAAGTTGTAAGCACCAAAGCATGTGTTTCCCAAAGGAATATTGTATTGCTAGGCTCTTAAGTACCAAATGAAGCACTACTATTTTATTTGATTCCCTTCTTATTTGGAAGCTGGACAGTGCCAACTGGACTTTTATTAAAAATAGTCATTATTCAGGAGTAAGGGAGTTCACATATATTTCAGAATATTAACTGTGGTGTTTCAAAGGACAGAACTGACTCAGTGAATTGAGTCTGCACAAGGCAAGGCAGAAATGTAGGCTTAATTTTTTATTTTAACTGAAAGAATGGTTTTAGGTTTTTTAAAAAATGTGCATCCAGATGCCTGAACTCTTTATGGTCATTTATTGTAATGTGTTTGCCTTCTGAGTTTCATTCAGTGTAGTACAAAATAGTTTTCTTAAAGCAATCCTTTATAAATCAATGGTGCACTAGAAGTGTTTCTGAAAAGTTACTGTAAATTTTACTTTTGGATTTTAAAGGAAATGGAGATGAATGTAGAATACTTGTTCTCAATTATGTTGATCCATATGCATGGTTTTGGAGCATTACATTATTAATGTTTAGTCTCAAATGTTTATTTTTCTGGGGACCGTGAAAAAGTTTTGTACTTTTTGAGTTGTTTATAGTTTCTCTTGTGATAGTCCTGGCATGTGAAGATAAATCTTTCTGGCGGGAAAGGCTTATATTTGTACTGTGTCATGAAGTACTGAGCTCAAAAGAGCAGTTTTCTCTTACATACCTGGTTTGCCAGTCACCTGCATAGCTGGAGGCTGAGGCGGACAAGAGGAGGTGATGGTCCCTGCTTGGGTTGACACTGGGATGTGTGCGTGTGCGTGTGCGTGTGTGTGTGTGTGTGTGTGTGTGTGTCTGAAGGGTTTGCATGTGCACACCTCAGCTTGCTCTTCTCTTGTCCCAGGGTAAGCAGAGTTCCTTCTCTGTTGGCTGCTCCATAGGCTGTCCTAGCCTTCTGAGGAAAATGAAAACGTTACATTTGAAGAGGTGGTAATTTCTGCTCCTGTCACTGTTTAAAAGAAGTAAACGTTTAAGGGTGTACTAAAGGGAGAAAAGCCTCCGAAGCTTTTAGAATATTATCAGTGTCTCATTTCTAGTATTCAGATGCTATGTTGATAAGACATTTTGTCTTTCCAAGATGCACTATATATTTGTTCAAAGTTAAATCTGTAAGCTGTATATACTTTATTTCATGATTTTGCTATTTATAAATTTATGTTTTAACAATAGCTTATTTAGAGTTTGTTTTGGTGGCTTTATTCATCCCTATATCACCGTGTTAATTTGTAACTAGAAGTGCACTTCACGGTGTATATTGCTACTGGGATTAAAATACTTCGTAGTATATATAACATTGCCTTTAAGCAAGAGTTAGTATTTAATGTTAGTGTTGCTCCTGACCGGGGGTGGGGTGGGTATCTAGGCTTCTTAAAAGAAAAAGGTGGATTTTTTCTTCATGCATCCCCTGTGTAAAACACACAGCCACACATGACACTGCAAACTGGATTTTAGCCAGTGTATTCATTTAGTAAAGAAAAGTGCCTCAGTAGCCGGTCTGAAAACATGAAACCATGTTGCTATCTTAAAGTCAACTGACCATAGTGTTTCTTTAGAGATATCCTGTATCTACTAGGACTGAGCCCTTGGTAAGTTTAAGCTATACTCCTTTGATTTTTCAGGAAACACATAATAAGACTACAAGGAGTTTTAGAACCTTACTAGCATTTTTGTGAGTGTGCTCTGTAAGTTGGATTGTATGCGATGGTTGTGAAACTCCGCTCAAGGCTGACAGTACATTGAAAGGTTTCTACACAGTAGCACCCTTTTCCTCCCCTCACGTGTTTGCACTCATGTTGAGAGCTCTGTCGCTTAGAAGCCACTGTGAGCTTCTGGTGGTGCCAAAACCACATTGTTGCACACTTGTGTTAGGATATACAGCCTTGAGGATGAACTAATAGTTACAGGCTTTTCCCAAAGGCCCGAGTGAGAACCAGTTCTGGTACTTTCACATTTATAGTAGGAAAACGCATGTAATACTGACACTTCTAGGAAAAAGCCAAGCAGATAAGAAACAGTGAAAAAGTGAAGAAAAAAATACACAGAAAAACAGTAGTTGAGAGAGTGTCCAATGGAAGTATATGTGTATATGTGTTTACGGTTAACTTCAGATTCTACTCTGTAGCATTTCTGATAGGAATATGATGAAAATACATTATTGCTAAGATACTTGTAAGAAAGATTAAAATTCTGCGAGTGTTGGCAATTATCATTGAAGTTACCAAAAGTTAGCACAACCTGTCCATGGTGCTGGTTTTTTCCCCTACCACAGTGGACTTATTTTTCCCTTCTAGAAACAAAAATGCAGTGATTCATACACAAATTGCACATTGACATTCTTATGTAATCTGCTATTGCACCTCTTCCAGCCTTCCTCCTGGGGTGGCTTCAGACCTGTAAGATTTATGACAAATGTATTATATCTAGTTGAGTTTAATATTTTTTTATTAGCCTGTAAATAAAGAAGGCATCTCCTACATTAAAATGGTATTGACCTCATTTTAAAAAATAAACATTTTTTTGTTTCTTTCACATGAAATATATTTTGGTTTATTATTTATTCCAAGTTGTACCAAAGCATTGAAGTCCATGCAAAAGCTTGACCTGGTTTGGGAGGGGTAGGAATTAATTGTTTAATCATAAGAACTGTTTAATATGAATTAGTTGAAAACATATTTGTTGAAAGAACTTCCAGAGCAACTGCAGGGGCAACTTTTCTGTAGAAACTTAGCAGATGGCAAAATAAAAGAAGAAAAAAAAGCCCTGGTCTGCTTGACTTTAGTTTTGTATTAGAAACCTGACAGCCAATAAGAATCAGAAACCAATTCTATTACTCTTTAAGAAGATAGTCTTCCATTTTAGTATCTATGTATACATAACTTAGAAGTTTCTAAATTATGATAAAATATTTCCTAGAAAAAATAAGTTAACATATTTCAGAAAATGAATTCTGAACAGTCAGAAATACTTGTTTTTTGTCATTATATATAAGCTTGATTCTGTTGCTTTTTTGTGCTGGTTTATGCTTCCAAATCACTCAGTTATTTGGGGAAAACTTTTTTTCCAAAATTCATCATAATTTGTTCAGTTCATGAAATTTAAAAGATGACTGGGTCTTACAACTAACTTTTTAAAAAGAGCTTGCAAAGTGTTGCAGATACGCTCTTGGCGATGAGAAATCTTTTCCACTATGTTTCATTATCTTCAGAGTCACAGTAGTTACTCAGCACAAGACATACACCAAAAAGATTCTTACAAAAAAGAAACAGATTATAACAAACTTCTCATGGAACTAAGATAAACTATTTGTATAAATGAAACAAATTAGCGTATATATTGAAATATTTTAAAAGCAATGCAGTATATAATTTGGGGGAATGTTTAACTTCTCCCTGCTTCTTGTGTGTCTCCTGTTTTGCTCTTTATTTGAGATAGATGCAGAAAGCAGTCTCGCCCAGGTGCACTTTTAATGCCATCACTGTCACGGTGGCAGCAGGAGGCACACAGGTGTCTGCGGCCCTGCTGCCTTGCTCCACCATTGTCCCGCGTTCAGGCCAAGGCCGTCCCTCTTCACGGGCTGCCAACTGGTGACTGAGTACCATGAGTGTGTGGCTCCTGCACTTAGTCCTTCCAGGTGCCCTGAGGATAGCGTGGCGTTGAGGCTTTCACTTGGCCGTCCTCCCACCCCCCGGGGGCCTGCCCGCCCTGTGGCTGGGTTGTCTCTAAGCTCCTAACAGCTGTTGCAGTGATCGCCTTTTGATGTTGGTGTCTTCCAGGAGAACCTGGGCTTGCACACATGGACCAGGAAGCAGGCAGTGAGTTAGGGCTTAGGAGCCGGCTCATCTGCTCAGAGGAAAAGAGGTTGATACCTTGCCCAGTAAGAGTACCTGTAGTCTTGGCATGGTGTTATGCTGGTTGATAATAGTTTACCGGTGGTGTAGAGAGCAGAGTGCACATGGTGGCAGAACCCATTGTCTCTGGTTGTACAGCCCTTGGCTGTATCCAGCGTCGTGGATTTTTGGCGCAGTTTCAACATGCCCTAATGGATTCAGCTAGTATGTGCCCAAAAGGTCTACACTGAACACAGGCCTAGTCTCCTGCAGGGGGAGGATTAAAGTGGCTGAGCTTAAGGCTATACAGGGAATTATTAAAGCTATAGAATTTCCGAGGCTTGGATGTTTCATCAAGGCCATTCTAAATGAACTGACTGTTAATGTAAAAAGGTAAATGAAACACATAAAACATGCAGCACCAGAAGTCGGATTACCATTCCTTGGAAAGGTAAAATCTGCAATTTGGTAAAATGCCAGCAGAGGGCAGTAGACTCCACATGTGGCATTAAACCTAGTAGAGCTATGAGAGTATTTGGAGATCATTACATAAATTACTCCTTTGGTTTGGGTTGGGTTTTTTTGTTTTTGTTTTTTTGTACCAGGAAAACTCGGGACCTTGTACTTGCTAGGCAGGTGGCAGAACCACTGCACATAAATTACTCTTTACGAGGGTGAATAAGTTGAACACTAGGGAAGTTAGGTCATTTGCCCAGAATTACCCAGGAAGTGTAACAGAACTTAATTCTGAGAGAAAGAGAAATAGATGAAACTACAGAATTTTCAGCCTTTCTCAGTAATTACCATTTTTCTTGAATGGCACAGAGTACTTATGAAAAGATGTCTACTCATGCCATGTGCACGCCATGAAGTTCTGTCTTCTCTAGAGGGTGTTAGTGACATTTAGGGAGTTGACTCTTAAAAGCTGTTCCCACCATGGTTGAGGACATTATTTTTCACTGTTTAGGGTCACAAGTGGCTTAACAGCTTCTAAAAGTGGAACTAATTTTTACATTTTTTCAGAGGAAAAAGAAAACAGGATGGTGTCTAGTTATAAAAAAAAAGAATGCAGATATACAAAATAAGAGAAATAGCCATAAGATTGAAAAAGTGACAGACTACTTTCTTCAATTTTCTATGAAAATTGACCGCAGAGACATTTTCAGATCTAAAAATGATTTTTGTAAGATAGAAACAAACCACTCCAAATTCCAGTATATAGGTTTTATACAGCAAAGCTACCAAACCTTTAAAAAGCAGGTAATTCTAATGCCTACAAAATAAGAACTAAAAACTTTTTGTGAAGCTAATAAAATCTGACCAAGATTACCACAGAAAACAAAAGGCCTACCTCGTAAAACTATTAACTGCAGAACTTTTTACCAATAAGAACTTGGCAGCACTCATACATGGAAACCAGATTTTTTTTTTGAAACCAGATGTTTAATATTGGGACATCTAATGATGTACAAGAGGTGATCAGGATGCACAGTAAATGTTCACATTAAAAAAGTGCATCTCTTCCCTTCTCCCCCATCGTCCCCTCCTTCCCCAGGACTTTGTGCTTATGAGGCAAGTGTGATGCCACTGAGCCGAATCCCCGGCCTCTTAAATCCATTCTCCAAATACACTTTGAACACAATCATTCTTGCCATTTTTCTGAAGCAGTTTTTGAAGTTCTGATTTGAGAGTGTCTACAAAATGTGATTAAAAAATACAGTGAATGGTGCTGCCGATTGCCACCCAACAGGCATCGTAAATGTTGCGAGGCATCATTACCGTATTCACCAGATCTGGCACCATGTAACTCCTGGCTCTTCCTTACAATTAGTGACCATGAAAGGGAAACATTTTGATTGGATTCAGGACATCAAGGCAGCTACGACAGTGCAACTAAAGACATGAAATGAGCCATTTGCAATTAACCATATGATGGACTAGGGAAGGGTCATATGGCGGGAAATAATTTGCTTCTGTTTTCACAGGTGCTGAAAAGATTGGTCAAAATTTAAAATATTCTAGGGCTGGGGATTTAGCTCAGTGGTTTGGTGACCTGCCTTGCAAGCACAAGGAACCGAGTTCAATCCCCGGTACCAAAAAAACAAAACAAAACAAAATTTAAAATATTCTAGAAAGGATAAATGGATGCTTTCTTAACGTAGTAATATGCTTCTATCTCTTCATAATATAATAATATGCTGTCTATCTATCTCTACTTAAAAGCTGGCATCATGTTAAGGAAGGAGCCAGGATACTGAAAGTCTTGCAAGACTTCCTGGGCTGAGCTCAGCAGGGACTTGGAACAGTGAAAGGGTGAACCTAGGGAAAAATCTGCCCAGTAAGACAGAAGTTTTATACTGCATGAAACATACATGCATAAAAAATCATTACGTGGTCTGAAGTTCAAGTTTAACTGGGTGTCCTGCATTTGATCTGGCAACCCTACCCGTTGTATCTGCCATCTACCTGGTGTACAAAAGGACAGTATAAAATTTTCATAAGGAAAATGCCCTGCTGTGGAAGGCTCATCAAAAAGTCCAAAATACTGTGTATAACAAAACTGTCGTGAACAAGAACCAGTGGAAACAAGAAATATGACAGCCTCCAGAACTGAACATTCCTTTAACAAAAGTGTACAGAACACTGTTCTAAGTACTGAAATATGCAGAGAATAGCACAGACCAATCTTTGAGGAGATATGCTGCTGGGAGAGATAGGTAATAATAAAGCAAAAGCAAAGTGAAAATGTATGCTGTTAAAGTGCAGTGCTAAGTGTTAAAGAGAACAGTAAGCGGGAAGGAAAGCAAGAGTATGTTTTAATGGGAGTTTGCAGTGTTTAGGAAGATGCTAAAAGTCATGGAATCACATTTAAAGGAATTGAAGGAGGCCAAAGCATGAGAATAGCAAGCACAAAGGGTTCAAGATGGCAGTGTCTTGGGCAGGTTCCCCAATGGCTTGAGTGGGTGAGTAAGGGGATATGGCAGATGGGGTCAGATGGGAGATGAAGGCCTGCTGGGAGGGGCAGGTCCTACACTTGTCCTCCAGTTCAGTGTAACTACTTACATTAAAGAAATTGAAATGAAGTAAAATAGAAAACGTCTTCCTCAGTCACAGCAACTGCATGTCACACACTTAGTAGCCACCATGGCCAGCAGCTATGGTACCGGGCATCCCAGAGGATACTGCCCGTGCCGCAAGAGTGAGGTCATGCCCAGGAAAGGCTGTTTCTAGGCACTGTCCTCTGCCCTTATGTCATGGTTAGCTCATGGGGATGGGGAGGAAGTGTGATAAAGCCAGTTCTATAGTACAGAAGGACTGCAGGCTCTTAACTGTTCTGTTTTTGGGGTTTTTTGTTTGTTTGTTTTGTTTTTGTACCAGGGATTGAACTTGTGCTTGTGAGACAGGCACCTGAACCACTAAGCTAAATCCCCGGCCTGTATCTTAAGAATTCTTAAAGAGAGATACTTTAGTGTTAAAATGCTATAAAGGGGCCAGGACTTAGCTTAGTGGTTCCGCCACCTGCCTCGCAAGCGTAAGGTCCAGAGTTTGATCCCTGGTACCTAAAATAAAATAAAATAAAATGCTACAAAAAGCCCACTGAAGTCCTAGATTAGGAAGAAAGCCCATTACAGAACAAATATTTTGATAAATGTTTCAGTTGATTCTTACTGTAAGCTTTAGAAGAAAAAGACATGTTAACACTGAAACAGGACAGAAAAAGGTTTGTTTTTTTTTTTTTTAAATAGAAGGAAAATCATGTTTTTAAAAATGAAAACTGGGGGCTGGGGATTTAGCTCAGCGGTTCGGTGGCCTGCCCTGCAAGCGCAAGGACCCGAGTTCAATCCCCGGTACCAAAAAAAAAAAAAAGAAAAAAAAAACAGA